TGATATGAATGGGCGAACCAGGATGTTGAACCATGAAAGCATAGTAAATTCTTAAATTAGTGTCTTTTTATAAATGTATTGTCTTTATTTATTGGCTTTTTATAAAATTTTAAGTGATATTAAAATGTTATGCCTTCAAAATAAAAATTCTTAGAAACTAAAATTTTTTAAATATTTTTTATGTGTATACTGTATGTTGTCACCAATAAAGTCTGCTTGGCGAGATTTGCGCCGGCGAAACGGAAAAGTACCAGCATTTTTTTTTTATTTTCAATGTAAATTTATGTTATAAATACTGAATTTAATATTTATTATTTTCATGAGAAAAGAAACATTCCTTGTAGTTTTGGCAGTTAATGGGTTAATTAAAAACTATTCCCGAGACCTTGAATAATGTTTTCCAAACTTTTAAATGTAAGTGTAATAACATTACATTCACAGTTTATAAACTGCTCTTCTAAATTACTGAAATAGTCGAATTCGTGAAAAAGATCTGTTTATCTGCAAGAACATAAATACAAAGCCAATTTTCTCTTATTAATATTAGTGTCATAGAATATTTAATGCAGCTAAAATTTTATTAATTTCATCAGGATATGTTTTAATATTTTAGCTGTTGCAATCAATTTTTAATGACTACACATAAATATTGGAATGTTAATTTTTTTAATACCTTCCATTGCGGATATTAAGGATACAAACAGCTGTAATATTAAAAGAATCAGTAATACTGAAACATTTTAACATAAAAGGATGCTTTTATAAGAATTTATACTTAATTCTAAATTTCCATGGGAGATTGGAGAGTTTTTTAGTTTAAATATTAAATTAGCATGTATATTTAGTCCTTGAAAATCAGTGATTGGTCAGTCCATAGTTTGAGATAACATGTGGCTTAGGTGTATTCATTAGAATTACACTAGTCTATTTCCTATGGTAAATCTTTTCAATAAATACACTTGAAAAATCATTTTTGAGCTACATGATTTTGAAATAAAAAAAATTCTGCACATAAAGCATGTAACTTACAAGATTTAAAATAACTTCAAATTTATTTTTTGAATATTTAAAATGTATACAGATAGTACTTTTTTACTATTTATTATTATACAAAATGAAGAAAAATGTATTATGAAAAAATTATTAGTTTCACAGCTAGTACTGCAGTGAACTCAGTTGCACAAAAATCTATATTTTTCTTTTTGACATTTATATTATAGTATACAAAATGTCTTAATTTGCAGTTTATACTATCAATAGGATAATAGTCAGTTGCTAAAAATTAAATTTTAATTTGTATAAAATTATATATTAATTCTGAACTGCACAGAACATTGGCATCATTATCCTTACATGATTTACTGCATTTACAGTGGACCAACTGCATTTACAGTGCTCCGGAAATTTGACTATTACGATTTTCAGAAACCAACTACAGTCAGAAGTCTTTAATCCGGACGTCCATAATCCGGAATGATCTATAATCCAGACCTCAAAGCTGCAAACTTTCTGCGCATGCATTAACACATGCGCATAATACCTTTAAGCATGCACGTTTAATGTATAACGGACGAGGGAGGGGAACGACACGGCGTGGAATGAACTGGAAGTTGATCTGTCAGCACTATCCTTATCTTCAGAGCAGATGTTTTTATTTTATTCAGCTTATAATTCCTTACTAAATGTAGTATTTCATCTCAATGTACTCCGTCTTTGATATGATTTAAATCAAATTCCTCGTCATTGTAAATATCACGAATACACATCAAATAGTTTTCTGGTTGCAATTTTCTAATTTCGACTATGTGTAATGTACTTAAGAAATGTTTACTTAAGTAAATAAATATAGAGCTTTTTTTTGTGTGTGTGTGTGTGTAAATTTTGATACCCTTTAGATCATAATTGCTCTTTATTTCATAAATTACGGTTTCATATTTTTAAGTTTATAATTTCTGCATGCCATCTTACCAGATTTAAACTGATGATCTATAATCCGGAAAAACCGATAATACGGAGTCGCCGAAGTCCTGACGAGTCCGGATTAAAGACTTTTGACTGTATTTATATTTACTGTTCTGCTTGTTAAGCTGATAAAATTATGACTTCAAAATATTTACAGTAACTTTCTTTTCAGTGTAGAAGAGCAAGCTATATAAACATGATTTTATGTATTCGTTTTTGTATTTTTTATAAATGAATTAATTATCAGATCAAGAAATGAATTCATAAATAAATATTGACAATCAAAACATGGTAAAGTAGCCAACAAAATTTTATCATGAAGTTATCCAATAACGTATAAGAGTTACCAAAATTATACTAACCAAATGAATGAACAGTTAATTAATGGATAAAATAATAATTAAAGATGAAATGCAAATTTCACAACTACACTGGCTATCATAAATTACGGAAAAGTCACAAAAATCACAATTACTGAAAAAGTTACATGTAGAATTTTATGAAACTTACCCACAATATACAATACATAATAAGGTATCAAATAACATAAAAATAAATTACCACACAATTATGGTTGTATAGTAATTAGCACATGTATAAAAAGAACAAATCGAAGGTGTCAGTTTTTTATGGGAAAAGTACCTTCAATATGGAATATGGTCGCCTCCTAGAAGCAATACAGCACATACAGTGATGCGTGATGCTTTCAATTATGCGGTTTATCAGTTCCATAGGAAGCGAGGGCCATTGCTCTTGAAAAGCAGTTGCAAGCACGGCAAGGGTCTGAGAGGGGCAGGACTTGAGAGCAGCTTAGACGTCTCTCTAAATCATCCCAAACGTGCTCGATAGGATTCAAGTCCGGGGATCGAGCTGGCCACTCCATGCGCATAATTGTTTCCTGTTGAAGATAATCATCTACGATGCGAGCCCTGTGTGGTCTTGAGTTATCGTCTTGTAACAGGAAAGCATCACCTATTGCCCCGGCACATGGGCGCACATAAGCATCAAGGATGTCATCTCTATAAACCGGAGCATTCACGGTTTCCGTTGGAAAGATGTCGAGGTCTGTGCGTCCACCCAAAGAGATGCCACCCCAAACACAGACACAGCCTCTTCCATATGCATCTCTTTAACGGATGTTTGACGGATGATAACGGGTTCCAGGTTCTCTCCATATCAAATAACGCTTACTATCGCTTTCTTGACTAAACCTGGACTCATCCGTAAAGAGAACAGCCCTCCATTGATCAAGCATCCAGAGGACATGTTGTCGTGCCTACTGCAAACGGTCCCTCCTATGACGTGACGTGAGCGGCACGCAAATGGCTGGTCGTCTCGCATACAGACCACCTTCGTGAAGCCTTCTACGTACAGTTGATGTTGACACCAACCTTCTGGTGGCTGCAGCAAGGGAAGATCTAAGAAGAGCCAGAGTAGCTCTGGATGCACATAATGTCAAATAATGTCCTGCATGCACATAATTTCAAATATCGGTCATCAGCACTCATTGTAACAGTTGGCCGTTCTTGGCCGAACCTCTTAGAGGCCGAATCTGCGTTTTGAAATTGCCTCCAAAGTCTATGAACCACAGAAGGACTTACATTTAGCCATCTGACCACTTCTGTTTGACTTTATCCTGCCTCTAGTCTCCCAAAGGCTCTCCATCATAGTGGAGGAAAATGATGCCTGGAGGTCATTGTTATGAATTGGCTATCTCAGATTTCTGATGTCCCTATCACAGTGAAATATGTGGGCTTGCTCTCAAACATCGACTTTTATTCTCCTCGCAGATGACGTATTGCGAGTGCAGCGCCACTAATTTGCATATTGCAGTTTTACTCAGCTACTCTTACTTGGCAACATACTGAAATTTTACACGGTTTGGCTTCTTTTTTAGGGAGTTATCGCTATTTTTGTGATTTTTCCTTAATTTATAATAACCAGTGTAATTAAAAATAAACAAAGTGTCCAAATTTTGAACACATTTGGAACAAGTTTCCAAATTTTGAAACAGCACAAGCTTGTTTGTTTACATTAGCGGTTCTTACGTCACGTGACCTCCGACGTCACTGGAATATATCTCACTTAAATTTTTTTTTTTCTTTGTTTTTGTCCCGATTAATTTGTACCCTACAGTATGAAAAGAAAACACATCAAATTCATCATTACTGTTTAACAATTTAATACACAAATTTTCTTCCAAATTCTTCTTTCTTCGAAATTCTTCTTCCGAAGTATATGGTGATCTGTTTTCATTTAAAAATAAGCAGAGAATTGCAGAGACTCGACATCATGCGAATCTCAGCAATACTGGCTATCTACTAAATGCACTTCCTCATTGTTCCCTTTAGAGATTTTGTGACGTAGTTCTCTGTTCCTACAGAAATTTTACCACAGTTTCTTCCAGTGCTGGTATACTCCCAGAGCACATAATTTAAAATTAAGTCTAAGGCAAAAATATCACAATTTGCTTATAAAACCATTGGAACTTGAAATACAACAAAAAAAGAATTATATGAAAATGGTGACGCTACTTGGTTGAAAGACTGTTATCACCATGGTTGCCAGAGTTTAGCACAAACTGAAAATTTAGCGACTTAAGGTGGTTGCAATGACACATAAGTGCCCTCCATTAAAATTCTGAGTACATTTCTATTATGCAGCTGCCACTCATTTTGGCCCCCGTGAAAGAAAAGCCAAACACATGCAGAAGCCCACAACAGCAACATCTGAGGACTATGTGTGTAAGAGTGCACATGTAAATAAGAAAAATTATACACACACATATTATTTGCAACAGTACTGACAAAATGCGTTGCAGGTGCATAATTGAAAAGTACAAAATCATCAATTCTGTCCCTTCCTTTCAAACTAATGCATACTGCTGTACATTTCAGACATCTTAGATGCAATTAAATTCATAATTAACAAAACATTAAATATAATTAATATTCCGTAAATGCAACATAACACCATATGGAGAACAGTAGTGCTAAATGCTTTACTTTTGATATAAAATGGTAAAATTAAATACTTACTTGGATTGTAGAAGTATTGCATGAAGTTGAAGGAAACATTTCTTGAGATGCAGATCCAAATGCTGCTCCTTCAAAGTCAGCAAATTCACAAGATTCAGATTCTGGCAATTGATTGGTGCTGTTAAACTCCACACCTTCAAAATCAGCAAAACCATCCACTTCATCACCAGAAGTTTTACTACACGCTTGAAATTCATCAAAATCATCAGATTCCTGACCACTAACTATTCCATTTTGAAAAGTATCAAAACTGTCATTCTTGGAGTCGGCAGAAAAATGAAAGTCACTTTTTAATTCAACAGCAGGGCCGAACTTCTTGCAACTTTGAAAATCATCAAAATCATCACACTCTGCATCAAATGCCTGAAAATCATCACTTTTATCTTCAACAACAGCAGTGCAAAGGTTGCTATTTTTGGCATTTGGAAGTGATGGAGAATATAGCCCTTCATTTTCACATACAGCTGATGTATCAAAATTTGCCTTTTGGAAATTGTCAAATTCATCAATACTGTCCACAACAGAAAAATCTACAGGGAAATCATCACCTTTAACAGCAAAATCAAAATCCCCATAGTGAACATTTTCATCATTTTTTGGGGATGCCTGGAATTGTTCTGAAATAGATTCAGTATCCAGTGAGGTTGTTTCAAACCTTAATGACTTATCACCATGCGATTCTACACCTGATGTAGCATCATATGGTGCACATAATTTACTTGTATTTTCACTGGTAGGTTCAGAAACATTTTCAGCTTTTCTGTTATTATGACTATCTTTCTGTATATTAATACAGTTTAATTCATTTTGAAGATTACTTTGAATTGAGCAATTAGAAAAATCATCCTGTTCAGAAGAAACACTCTTTTCATACACATTCGCAGAAATTCTTTCTGATTCAGCAGGAGAAATTTCTGCATGAAAAGAGTTATTCATAGAATTTGAGAAAACGTCCTCACTATCAGTTATAAGTCTTTCATCAACGAGAAAATTTTTAACTTCAACACTGCCCTTTTTATTTGATTTGCAGAAAATCTGATCTGATGATATTTCCTTGATGCACTTTTCATTTTCAACTGGAGAAGAGCTTATGTCACTACATTTATTTTTAGAAATATTAGAAAAAAAATCTTTAGGAGATGGCATTTCAGAATCATCGCACGAACAAAGCGTGTTCAAGTCACTTTTCAGATTAATGTCATTCACACCATTATCACCAGATTTAAAAGAATTATATTTATTGCCAGCAACTGGACTGTCAAAGGAGGAATCAAAACCTATGTTTGCAGAAGTGAAAGTCCCAAATTCATCATCATCATCATCATTATCAGGGCAATCATCAATAGGTGGTGGGCTTGAAGAAAGCATAGGAATTATGTTTGAAGCCATGAAGAGCCAATTACTTTAATATAACTCCCTAAAATAAAAATACATATGTTAATTAAATAAAAATACTTCTCTGTGAAATAAGAGATTATAATGACAATCAAGAAAGTAAATGAAATGCAGCTATTGTAATTAAATACCAAAATAAAGAAACAACTTTAAGCTAACAAATCAGTTGATTAGAATGTTTACAGCATGGCAGTTCACAATTTTTAGAGTTGAGAATTAGTATGCTTGGATGCACTCAGCACACGGATCTTTTACAGTGAATCACAATTTGGTCTGAATATCTTTGCTCTCTGATTAGTAGCACTAGCAGTTTGAACAGGTAAATGAATACTTGAATAAGAACATTGACTTTAGCATATGGAAACCGTACTTGTAATACGATATGACCCATATATTTTGAACCATAAAATGTATATTGTTGTCATTAATGATGAGGACAACAAAAATTCTTTCAGTAGATGGATGCTCATTTTCCTACCTTATATTTCTCCTGAATGCTATATTTTGCTAAAGGCTAATTATTATATTTTACTAAAAGACATCTATAGATAAAATTGGGCATTTTTCAATAACTTATTTCAGTAACAAAGAGGAGACAAACAGCAAGAGAAGCATATAAATATGAAAATGAGGGCTGGCTAGTAAAGCCTAAATATGAAAAACACAAAAACATACTGAACTTTAAACCTTTGATTTTCTTTCCTTTTCCTCAATAGAATAATTCAACTACTTATACATTACTAGTCAATGTAACAGTGCTTGATTCTCTCTCTTTATAAATTATTTCCAAAAAAATAAACTTTGGTGAAAATATTTTATCTAGCCTAAGGAACATGAGGCATATGTTAGAAAAAAAAGAAACACAGAAGTCTTCTGTTGCCCAAAAATTGTTGGTCCAAATATCACACTTTCAACTTTTCTGCTGCCAAAAATATTCAAAAAACATCTTCCATTGGAGAACTGGATTTTCTAGAGGCATTTCACATTCAAAAAATCTTTCTGTTCTAGTTAACGATCCTAATTCCAATCCCTCTTTGCCTTCGGCCTTTAAAGAAATTATGTTTTAATTCATCAACAGATTTCTGTCCAAGCTTTCTTATCTTATCTGATCATTATATCCTATCTCGTTCATTTGCGCTTTTGCAGCTGACGATGGTGGTTCAGTAAAACCATCGAAACTAGTCCTGTGAAAATTTGAAAATATAACGCTGATTTTTGTTTTTTGACTTCTGAATTAGTATTTGTTTGGCGTGTTATTGAGTTCTTTTAAGTCAATCTGTTCCTTTCGATTCTTATTTTGGAGTACAGAGCTGTAAGAATTTAGTTTTTTTCTGGTTTAGTTGGTTTGTTATTAGCTAATTCAGGAAATTTTTTATTATTCTTTTTAGGAGGTGTTTTTTTTTTTTTTTTTTCCCCCGTCGGATTTGGCTTATTAACCCCTTAACTGCCACGGGCATATATATACGCCTTGCTCAGCCGATGCGTCAACTGCCCCAGGCGTATATATACGTCCTTCCAAACTGCTATCACTTGCTTTGCGCTGCTACACCTAAAATTATTCGCAAAGTTAACGCATCGGCTGCGCATCTGGGGCAGTTAACGCATCGGCTGAGCAAGGCGTATATATACGCCCGCGGCAGTTAAGGGGTTAAATCTGATAGGTTTCACACTCATCATACGGATTAACATAATTTCTGCCACAGAACAGACAGGTTAACTTATTATTTTTCTTTAATTAACAAGTATTACTGCAGTGTTCTCTGCTGCATTTAACACATCTTACAGTATTGAAATGAGATAGTGAGATACCCTGTATATACAGTCAGTCTTTAATCCAGATGTCCATAATCCGGAATGATCTATAATCCGGACCTCAAAGCTACAAACTTTCTGTGCATGCGCGTTTAATGTATAACGGACGGTATAAGCTAAGCTAAAATTATCTAATTATCTATTTCAGTTAATGTTGCATATTGTGTTGTTCCTTAATCTTCTAATTGGATCCAGCTTATTATTTTTTGCAGACTGTTAGAGCAATTTTATAAAAGTAAGCTTGAACTTTCGATAATGTCAAAAAGAATTTCCGAGTCGGGAGCTGCCTAAGGACCTACAAAGCGAAAGCACGTTTCAATGTCCATCAAACAAAAAGTAGAATTGCTGAAAAAAAAAAATGGATAAAGGCATATCCTTTGTTTATCTAACCATTCCGAAATCTGTTTATCAATTTCACGCTGCTCTGCGGCGGGGGGACGCCGCGGCGCGCAATGAATTGGAAGTTGATCTGTCAGCACTATCCTTATCTTCAGGGCAGATGTTATTATTTTATTTGGCTTATAATTCCTTACTAAATGTAGTATTTCATCTCAATGTACTCCATCTTTGATATGATTTAAATTAAATTCCTCGTCATTATAAATATCACGAATACACATCAAATAGTTTTCTGGTTGCAATTTTCTAATTTCGACCATGCGTAATGTATGCTTTATGCATGCGTGCATTGAAAGAAATCGTTAATAAAGTAAACAAATAAATATTAAGCTTTTTTTTTTTTGTAAATTTTGATACCCTTTAGTTCATAATTGCTCTTTATTTCATAAATTACAGTTTCATATGTTTAATTTTATAATTTCTGCATGTCATCTTATCAGATTTAAACTGATGATCTATAATCTGGAATCGCCAAAGTCCCGACGAGTCTGGATTAAAGACTTTTGACTGTATACTGCAAGTCTAATTCAATATTAATAGAAAGAACAGGTATTATACTTTTTAATTTTACATTATGTAACATTAAATGATGTAAACCAGAAATTAATCTTTCATCAGAAGCATGATTCAAGTACATATTCCTACCATACAGCAATCTTTATTAAAATATCCATCATTATTAAAATATTATAAAAAATTTGAATAATTAAGCAATTTCAGACAAACATTTCATACTGTCAAATTTCAGTTTCAAGTATACATTAATCAATTTACTGTTGATTAATGCATACTTGAAACTGAAATTTTCAATTGACTGTAGCTCTAATTTTATTGTGTGTTTAAAAGTTCTTTATCAGATAGCAATCAAATTTTTATGGAAATCACTCCTTTATAACTATCATAGAACATATAAGGGGGTAAGAGGAATCAAAACTTGTTAACATATACTTACAGGCGTGACACAAGGACAAATATAATACGCATAAAATTAAGTTTATAATGTTAAAAACCCAAATAAATTTAATTTATTTTACAAGAAATTTAACAATATGGAAAACAAATCCATCAAAAAGTACAATGCAATATTTGCTCTAATACAGCAAAATAGAGTCTAAAGAATACATGACTTTAAACACAAATACTATTTTAATTTGAAAAATCCATGTTTCAGTTATTCTTAGAAGGTTCCCTACACACAGACAGAACAGAAATATTTCTACACAAATATCATATTGAAAAGGAAGACTTTGCTCAAATACAGTAAAACAGTCTAAAGAATACAGTATTTTAAACACAAATGCTATTTTAATTTGAAAATCCACATTTCAGTTATTCTTAGAAGACCCCCTAGACATGCAGACAGAAGAGGAATAGTTCTATACAAATATCAAATTGAAAAGGAAGACTCAGATAAAAAAAGATAAGCTAATTTTTTAAGAATCTTCTACTGAAGCTTGCTAATTCAAGGTTGAAATGAACAAAATAATGCTTCTGATATGCAAAAGAAAAGACAGATGGGATTTCTTTCTAAGTACTTCTCAAAGAACATGCAATAAAGAAAATGTTTTGGATAGCAATTATTTTAGATCGAAAATTTAGTATCTGGACAACAAACAGCAATAAGTACACAATCAATAGAACAATTTTTCTACACCAATAGTAACCCTTTAATGAACTAGCCTCTTGTTTCTACACAGCAAAGGGATTTATAAGAAAAAGCAGTGTAAAAAGTATAGATTAATTTAAAAGAAAATGAAAACTCTTGAAATTTTAATTCATTTGAGAATGTTAAATAAAATCACACAAAAACTGAAAATTATTATCAAAACTTTTGGAAAATCATTAAAAGACTAATGTTTTTAGCATATATATAATATGATCAAAAAAATGTAATTTCATGAACTTAAAAATCAAAGAAATATGCAAAACTTTATAACTGAAATATATCTGCACAATATTTTAATTAAAACATTGAAACACCAAAAAATGAAAATGTAGTTTTAAAAAATAAAGATATCCATCCTTTAATACTGCATTTAGTAAGAACTAAGTACAGATGTATTTTGGAATGCTTACATTAGTATGTAGAATGCAATGTGTTAACACAGTTTTAATCATAAATTTTAAAGAACTATGCAATCTTACAATTATCTTATGTACATTTCAATAATTACTACTCTATATACTATAAAATCTCTCACAAACAATAATATTTTCTAAACTGAAAACTACTAAAACTTTAAATACTGCTGTATATCAATATTACAGCTCATAAGAATTTATCTGCTATTAAAAACTACTTTGTCCCGACTTTTGAAAATTCTACAAAAAATGTAAATATGCAAATGAATGTTATGTATATATTACAAAAGAAAAGATGGACAACAGAAACAGAATGTTAATTTGTAAACAATCTTCTTAAGTGAGTTAAAGCTGCAAAACATTGTAAAATACACATACTTCCATTACACAATACCAGTGTTTTCAGACATGTCAAAATTCTCTCAATGCAAAGAAGACATATGTAAAACATTTTACCTTTTCGGCAAACAGCTGTTCTGCAATTCAGGTGAAACAATACATAACGTTTTGCAAAAATATCACTAATCCTAACAACAGGTTTCTTAACATTTGCTCACACAAATTGCTGTTTAATATTGAAAGGTACCATTAAAAATATATCAGTTTAATATAAAGAATACTTCCATGCTTAAGCAATCAATAAAATTAGCGTTCTATACACTCGAACAGCCAAATTCTTTTCAGAAACAAACGTACGTACGCAAAAAGTACCTCTCCCATCGCGATCAAACTGAGACAGATAGACGTCTTTTGGTGCACATCTCTGCCTTTCTGCCTGCATAAAATTGTAAACAGTGGTAGATAACAAGTAATGGAAAGAAAAGGATTGGATTGGATTATTCAATTATTGCAAAGCACGCGAGGGCTAGCTGCTTAAAGGGAGCGATGCCTTCGTGGAAATTTTTCTAAGAGAAACTGGTTCTTATACACGTTACACATGGGAAAAACCACGAAAACGCCCATGCAGCCAGCCCTTTCGCGGGATTCGAACCTAGGACCGAACTACCAGAATGGAAAGGAAAGAGTAATTCTAATACGCTTGTACAATGATATTTACTACACAGACAGTTGGACACATTGGGCAGTTCCATTTAATATATATAGCTTTGATCGAAAGAATACATCCATGCTTAAGCAATCAATAATATCAACATCCTGTAGACTCAAACAGCCAAGCTCTTTTCGGATCAAGGAAGGGTTCAGTTACGAGGTTCATAGGCTCAGTGCTTTTATCCCCACATCATCAAAGATTAAATAATTATCATCAAAAGAGGGTTCGGCAAAGATGTAAAATTTAGTGCCGAATTGTCAAAATAACAAAAGGTAAACTGCCTTCTACAGTGAGGGGTAAAAAATAATTTTGAGATCTAATAAAGGGCAAGAAAGCTCTATTCGGAGACAAGCATATGTATCAAAAACGTTCAAATTTAGCATAAGTACTGCTGAAGCAAATACAAGTATCAAAAACGTACCTCTCCAATCGTAATTAAAAGAAAAAAAAAAAAAAATTAGAGAACAAGAGGAGGAAATGGTCGAACTCTAGTCATCTGTGGAGCTGCCCACCAGAAGAAATCTCATCTAGGAACCAATTCTTGTATATTTCAACGCATCGTTCAAATGAAACACGATTTCAAATCCATACCAAAGAATCGAAATATCACTTGCTTATTGTACCCGAATCATGATGCTTGTTAAATAACGAGTTCCTTACCCTCAACCATGCAACACCGACTCTACTTCAAGCCTAAGCGCGCGGTTCGAAAATTCGTGTGACGTCACGACTTCTGGTCATAATAAACTTCGGAACGCATGCAGTGGCTCTTTGCTGATTGCTGAAGCTTCTTACGTTGTGCGAACGCTGAAGCAGAATACTTTGATTTTTTTATGGTTTTAAGGTTGGATGTATTTTAGAGAGGTAAGAATACATTACTTTACTTCTGTAAAGTATTCTAATTCTGTAAAATATTTCTAATTATATCAACGTTTTTAGGCGTATGTTCTAGTATACATGTGTTATTTCTGGTAGAGACAAGGCTGCTGTGCTATGTATAATTTCTTTTTGAATAATGTTGTGTCAGCCCATCGTAGAATAAACGGGCTTTGCATAATTATATTACCTGATCTGTTTCAGAATAAAACATTTTTTTATGGACCTGTATAAATTTGATGTTATAATATAAGCTAACACAGCTTATTCTTAAAATTTTACATGCCATTAGCTATACACTATAACTATTTACTCCCTTTTATATTTAAAAATAATTAATTTATATTTTATACATAACTATTTACTCCCTTTTATATATTAATTTAAATAAAAACATTTCAGTTATTAAAATGCCGGGTAGATGCTGTGTACCATTATGTAAGGGAAACTACCCAACAGGACCAAAAGTGTCTGTATTCTCCTTTCCTAAAAATGAAGATTTGAAGAGAGAGTGGCTTTCTGCAATCCAACGGAAAGACTTTTCACCCAAAAAGAGTTCAAAGGTAAGTAAAGTAGAGTTATTAATTAATAGTGTAGATTCTAATTACATATAAGGGTTCATTCAGAAATTTTTAAATGATAATATTTTGTTACATAAACCAGGATATACAGAAATAAAGGATTGAAATAGAGCTTTAATCACTGCAAATATTCTCTGGTTCTATCTGTGAAATGAATATTCTTTACTACAAATGCTCAGAATGAACCCTCTGATTTTTAAACTATTACTATTAACATAATGTTTTTTTTTTTTTTTTTTTTTTTAATTTTCTCTAAAGGTTTGTGAATTGCATTTCAAGGAAAGTGATTTTAAAGTTGAAGCTTCAGCATTTGATTCTAAGAATGGAATTTTAATTTCTGCTCCACTTCAGGTGCGTAGATTAAAAGAAAATACAGTGCCATCGATATTTAAGGACTATCCATCTGTATACAGTTGTGCCATAATTTACAGAAAGCATTGCGTGAAAGCCTTAAAGAATATGAAATGTATAATAATGATTTGAAAATTAATTGTTCTAATGATATTTTGTCATGTATTGATCGCTATGGAATATCAGCATTTTGGCATGTATACACAGTTCCAGATACCTCAACTGTTTGCTTTATTCATATTGTTTTTAGTCCTGGGCCATCAATTGATTATTCTGTAGTTGTGAATGACAATCAAGAAATGTCTGTATTTATTAAAGAAAAATCTATTATGCAATTATCTCCTTACACATTCCCACATAAAGTTACAAATTTTAATGAAATTAGGACTGTTTTAGATAAATTGGCTAATCTTCAAACCAAAGAGTTAAATTCAAAATTAACCATAACAATTGATATAATTAATGAATTACTGCAAACTATCTCTAACGACAAAAATGAGAGCATTATTAAATTTTTGCAAGACCAGATGAATCTTTTACTTTGCCCTAAAAATAATTTTAGATACAATCCTGATGTACTAGTGTTAGCATGCTTGTTAAATACTATATCACCACATGCATATAAATTTTTAAGGGATAGTGGCAGTATTATTATGCCTCATCCTTCGACTTTAAAAAAAAAATTTGTAGCAATTTAGTATTGTCACCGTGTAATGAAACTATTGATGAAAATTTTTTTAAAATATATAAAAAATCGTGTAACTTTCCTTGAGGATCGAGAAAGAAAAGTGATTCTTTTGGTAGATGAAATTTATGTTCAGCCATATTTTGATTACAAAGGAGGCTCTGTCGTTGGGGCTGCATTTGATTCTTCCAGTCCGGCAACCAGTGCATTTGCTTTTATGATATCCAGTTTGGAATCTTCATTCAAAGAGGTAGTACATATTATGCCTGTTAACACAATAAATTTTGAAACATTACATTATGTAATTAAAAAAGTGATTAGAGGTCTTGAAAATATGGGAATTATTGTTATTTGTGTTATTACAGACAACAATGCAATAAATAGAAAAGCCATGAGTTTGTTTTCAAATCCACCACGTAATTCATTTGTTTACAAACATCCAATGAATGGGAATAGGCCTCTTTTCTACATAATAGATGCAGTTCATTTATTTAAAAATATAAGGAACAATTGGCTGAACCAGAAAAATCCTGGTACATGTATGTTTTTTCCAAATATTGAAGATCTTTCAAAGAAGCACTTCAAAACTGCTTCGTTTATGTCTTTGAGAAAGCTACATGAAATTGAAAATGACCAACTGATTACATTTTCTAATGGTTTAACTCTAAAAAGTCTTTCACCTTCTAATTTAGAGAAACAAAACATTAAACTGGTTCTTAAGATTTTCAATAAATTTACTATTGAAGGTCTGATTCATTTGGGTCCTTTGCATGAAATACCACACTATTCAGATACATCTGAGTTTATATCCATAATATGCAAATGGTGGGATATTATGAATGTTAAAACTATGTTTAAAGGTATACATCAAAAGAGTGAATTTATGAAGCCATTAACAGCAGATGATTCTGATCCAAAAGTTATTTTCCTCAATCAGTTTCTTAACTGGTTAGATGCATGGGAATCAATGAAATGTTCAACAGGCATGCTTACAAAAGAAACTCATGCAGCTCTCAAACAAACTACTTATGGTATACTGGAGTTGACTAGATATTGTGTTGAAGAGCTTGGAATGAAATATATACTTCCAGGAAAAATTCAGACTGATGCTCTTGAAGCCCGGTTTGGTAAATACAGACAACTTTCTGGTTCTCAGTATCATATTTCAATGAGACAGTTATTAGAATGTGAAAAAAAATTAAGAATACAATCAAGTATTAAGTTAGAATTGATTATTAAAAATACTACTGTCCCTTTAACATCATTTGAATATGATGATAATCTTCATGATATTATAGAATTAGATAATACAGTATATTACCCATCATTAAATATTACGGAGAGTGATGTGAAGGGCATTAGTAGCCATCTGCCAGTTCTGACTTATTTGGGTGGTTACTGTTGTCATGCAGTTTTAAAGAAAGTGAAATGCTGTACCTGCAAACAAAACATTACAATAAATTCCACAGTTAATCATGATCAAACGTATGATCTTATAAAGAATCTTGATCGTGGTGGACTCAGGTGGCCAAAACCATTTATTGTAAATATAATTATGTATAATTATTTAATTGTAAATAAGCTGTGTAGTGAAGAATATGAAGATTTTTTGTTGGAACAAAATCAGAGGAAAATTGTTGCAAATTTGACTTTTAAAATTTTAGAATTAAAAGAAATGCTCTTTGATGATATTATTTGTGATAATGGTCATACAAGTGAAAGTATAAGCAAACTGATAATTTGGATATCAACAAATATCATGCTCAAGAATCTTTGCAATAGGAAAAATGACGATATTAAGTCCAATAAAGAAAAAAAAAGAAAACTTCAGACACTTGCAAAGTAACATTGATGCTGTCTTTAAAAGTAATTTTTAAAGTTCTCTCAAACTGCATCTTTGCTAAATATCTACGTGTCATCTTTGGTGAGCAGCTGAGATTTAAGAAGCATGTTTGTTATACATTTAAATTGCTTTATGCCAAAATTTATTTTGGACTTGTATATATTATTCTTTGCTTATTTAACCAAGTTTTTAATATTACTCAAGATTTTATATAATTTTTAATTTGCTTTATACTAAGTTACTTCTCAAGGTCCTGAAATTTCTATATTGTATTTACAAGCGCCTTTGCTAAATATCTACGTGTCATCGTTGCTGAGCAGCTGAGATTTAAGAAGCATATTTATTATACATTTAAATGCTAAATATCATAATTTATTCTGGACTTGTAGATATTATTCTTTGCTTATTTAGTTATTTAACCAAGTTTTTGGTATTACTGAAGATTTTATATTATTTAAAATTTTCTTTATACTCAGTTACTTCTCAAGTTCCCAAAGTTTCTATTTTGTATTTCAATTGTGTTTCTTAAAATGTTCATCATTATTTAAGATTTTGTATCCTGCAATTACATGGCATAGTGTAGTCATAGTGTAGTAGTGTAGAAAGAACATATTACATGGCATAGTGTAGTAGTGTAGAAAAAAAAGACAAATTCCATAATGTCTTCTTTCTGCACAATCTAACTCTTTAATATTTCTATTTATGCAATAATTGTATGGACTCTTTCTGGATAGTACTACATGTTCAGCTCAAGTAATATTTGCTCTTCACATTATTCACAGTGAATAAGCACAAATCAATCTACTAATATACCCCTGTGGTGACCGGGTGTGAAAGAATAGTCCCAATGTAGCTCATACATGTCGTAAAAGGCGACTAAAATGGGTACCCAGCGTCTGGGGGTATAGCCGGGCACCCTGCCCCTGGGGATTATATCAGGGAACTGGTCCTCCAGGTTGGGGGTTGGGTGTGGGGCTAACTACCCCACCCCATAAAAAATCTCACTGTTAAGAAATCCAAAGATAGAATTAGCCGGACTGCTTCTACTGGAAAACGACTTGGAAATGGCCTAGGGACTTTTCGTTTTGGAACATGAAAAATTTGAAAATTTGAAATAATTAAAAAAAGAATGATGAAGTGTGACTGCAAGGGACGTCCGGTATCCTTTTCTGTCATTGCACTTTTCCTGACATGATAAGTACACTTTGGTAACGAGGCTTGGAAACCTCGGCTAACACCTTGTTGTTTATTAAAAAGAAAAGAGACATGCAGCAATAATTATATTTCATAATAATAATTTTGACCCAAGCTCTATAAATATATTATGATATTAATTTATAAGTCTTTACAAAGTTACATACATAGGTCTTTATAGCATTTCACCTGTATAATAGTTATATGATGTATGATTTTAAAAACTAAAAAAACATATATATGTTTATTGAATTAAGCAAAAAACAAATATGTCACATTGTGAATATCATTAATTCATATAATTGATTGATCATGTATTCATCTTATTTTCAATTTCATCATTGAAAAACCAGTATGATTTTATTACAAGTTTATGTGAAGAAGTAAAAAAATGTCCCAGATTGTATGGGATATTTCTTGTGTTGAATGGCCTGTTGATTGAAATACAAGTGACCATTACAAGTCTTTGGAATTTGCATTCTCATTGCCAATTTTGAAAAGACATTCTTTTACATTTTCTTAAAAAAGTTAACATTCTAATGACTTTAGAAGTAAACATTGGCGACTTCATATGAACCAGTCTCTTGGCGAGTTTAGCAAAAAATTTGCCGATGGCTTCCCCATAACAGAACTGTACTGGATTCTATACCTGAATATTGCATTAAAAGGAGAGAAAACCATTTATTATGAAGATAATAAATGATTCATATTACGAATGTTCATTTCTTATAATGATCGAGTTTTATATTCTTGCATTGTATTTCTTTTGTGTCAACACAGAATAAATTGTGTCGGATTTCAGTTATAATGATATGTGTAAAGATGCTGTAATAAAATTTGTTATAAATGTACTGTTGTGTATTTTTCTTTAGCAGTTGAATTTATGAAAATTTGTATTATTTTCTAACAAATAAAATTTTATATTTTAATATAAATCCATCTATGGACATTACAACAGATATTATATTCTGGAAAATAATTTATTATGCCTTTTCAAAACTAAGTTTAAAATGAAAACAAACTTGAATGCATAATAATTTTTAATGAATAAATAAAATGTGAAATATGAAAAGTGTTCTGACATGTCACATTAAGACTGCAATCAAATAAAGAATTCTTTATACGTGCATTGGTTTTTGTTTACAATTTGCATAGTCTTGAATATTTTACTGATCTAAATTCATTTTAAAAAATTTGGTGTCATGATGAGTAGTGATTTTAGGTAAAAGTTTACAATTGGGTGTCCCTTGTATTTTGGCGATTCTTTTTTGACACCAAGATTGGCGTCAGGAAGGCACAATTTCAAAATGGCCGCTATACAAAACCAAAATAAGAAGTCAAAGAATCGCACAAGCCCACCAGTGGGCAAGCGGTAAAAGCCGCTGAACACTGGTAGTTCGGTCCAGGGTTCGAATCCCGGCAAATGGGCTGGCTGCATGGGCGTTTTCGTGGCTTTCCCCATGTGTAACTTGGATATGAGCCAGTTTACCTTAAAAAGACCTCGGTTTAATCCTAGTATCCGGTGCACACAGGATTTGGCGACTTTATGATGAGCAGTAAAAACGGGACATATATGATGAGTAGTAAACGCGTCATTCAAAGAATATA